CAATGAATACTTCTGAGGACATTTTTTCTTAATTAATTATATCATTGTCATGCTCACAAATTCTGGATATTATTAACCTAATGGATAAGAAATATTCATTGTTTTAAAATCCCTGATCTTTTTAAGGGGGGGGTTAAAGAATTTCATCTTTCTTATTTATTATAAAAGCAATAGGTGCTTACTACAGAGAAATAAACAACCAACAGCATATTAAAAATATCCATAATTCTGTCTTCCGACTGGATGCATATTTTTCATGTTTATTATGGTATAATATGCATATGGTAAGATTTACTCTTATTAATGGAAATTTCTGTGAGTTTTTACAAATGCATACAATCATGCAACCACCACCAAAATCAAAATATAGGATAGTTTCATCATAATAAAAATTTCCTTCTTCATGCTATTTTGTTGTCAAGTCTTTCTCCAACTCCAAGCTCCTGGAAAGCACTGATCTAGTCTTTACTTACGCTTTTGCCTTTACCAGAATGTCATAAAATGAAATTAAAATATATGTAGAATCTTGAGTCTGTTTTTTTTCACTTAGTATCTACTACATTTAAGATTCATCCATGTAGTGCCCATCGGTTCACGAGCAAATTAGTAAAATGTGGTATATGTATACCATAAAGTACTACTCAGCCATAAAAAAATGAATTAATACCTTTTGTAACAATCTGGATGGAACTGCAGACCATTCTCCTAAGTGAAGTATCACAAAATTGGAAAAATAAACACCACATATACTCTCTGTTAAATTGAAACTAACCGATCAGCATTCATGTGCGCAGATTGAAGTAAAACTGAACGAAAATCAAGCAGGTGGGAGAGGGGAGAAGGGAATGGATGAAATCATACCCAGTGGGCACAATGTACACTATCTGGGTGATGTGCACACTTATAACTTTGACTCAAGCAGTACAAAAACAATCCATGTAAACAAAACATTTGTACCCCTGTAGAATTCCAAAATAAATAAATAATATATTATTCTGAGGGGAAAACTATTCATCCATGTGGTTGTGTGTATCAGTAGTTTATTCCTTTTTATTGCTGAGGGGAGTTCAATTGTGTGGATCTACCAAAGTTTGTTTATCAACTCTTCAGCTGAGGGACAATTGGGTTATTTAATTACATATAATTACATTACATGATTACGAAAGCTTTCGTAAGTATTCACATACAGATTTTTGTGTGAACAACATTATCATTTCAAGTGGATAAAAAAATTTAGAGCAAGATCACTGGGTCATATGGTAAGTATATGTTTAAACTTATAAGATTTGCCAAACTGTTTCTAAAGTGACTGTAAGATTTTCCATTCCCACCAGCAATGAGAATTTCAATTACTCTGCATCATCCTCAGAGCTTAGCATTGTAGGTGCGTATTAACTTTTTAAGAACTGCCAAACTCTTTTGCAAAGCAGTTGTACCATTTGACATTCCCACCAGCATTGTATGATAGTTCTAGTTTTTCTGCGTCTTTGTTGGCACTTGGTGTGGTCAATCAATTTTAATTTTAGCCATTATAATAAATGTATAGTGATATCTAATTGTAGTTTTCATTTATATTTCCATAAAGATGAATTACACTGAGTATCTTTTATGTGCTTGTCACCCATGTATCATTTTTTGTCCGTTTAAAAAATTGAGTTGGTTGTTCTCATATTACTGAATTTTGACAATTCTTTATAAATTCTGGCTACTAGGTCTTTAGTAGCTATGTGACTAGCAAATATTAAGCCCCAACCCATGGTTTGCCTTTCAATGCTCTCAAAGATAACTTTTGAAAAGTAGAAGTTATTCATTTTGATGAAGTTCAAATTATTAAAAATTTACCTGGCATAGATTGTGCTTTTGGTATCATACCTAAGAAATCTTTTCCCAAACCAAGGCCACAGAGATTTTCTCCTGCTTTTTCTCCTAGAAATTTTATAGTTTTAGGACTTTACATTTAAGCCAATTATTGATTTTGAGTTAATTTTTCAATAGAGAATAAGATATAGATCAGGTTCATTAATTTTTTTAGTAGGGACATCCAATTGTTCCAGTGCTATTTTTTGAAAAATTATCCTTTCTCCATTGAATTGTGCTTGTACTTTTGGAGAAAATCAATAGAATGTAAATGTGTGGGACTATTTTTTGGCTCTATAGTCTTTCATTGGTCTTTATGTCTATCCTTTCCCCAATATCACAAAATTGCCTTATCATTTATTTCTCTCTTAAAAATATTTTTAGTCATTGCCTTAGAGTTCACAACATACACCTTTAATTTTACAGAATCTACTTTCAAATAATATTGTGCTGCTTCGCATGTTGTATAAGGACCTTTCGATAGTGTACTACTAATTCCTCTCTCTCATATTTTGTGCTATTGTTTTGCCATATATATATTTTTTGAAATATTGAGGGGGTACAAATGTTTTTGTTACATGGATACCTTTCATAATGCTTAAGTCAGGGCTATTAGTGTACCCATCACCTGAATAGTGTTCATTGTACCTGTTAGGTAAGTTTTTACCTCTCACCTCCTCCCACCTCCCTTGTTCTTGATTTCCAATAACTTTTACTTCTCTCTGTGCCCATGTGTGCCCATCGATTAGTTCCAAATTATTGCAGAGTACATGTAGTGTTTGTTTTCCCATTCCTGAGATACTTCACTTAGGATAATGGTCTCCAGTTCTATCCAAATTGCTGCAAAAGACATTAATTCATTTCTTTTTATGGTTGAGAAGTACTCCATAGTGTGT